ATCCCTCCCCATCTCACCAGCATCAGGACCTAAAGTGAAAGCCTTTCCCCTCCCTCATAATCCCCCCTTCCATCACCCATTCTATCCATCCATCCATCCATCCATGAAACATCCTCTGGTGGTGCCAGCATGCCAGTCCATTAAACAAACTAGCATTACCAGAAGTCTGACACCGATTACCAGAAAGTGTTCCTTCCTGACTCTGCACGTTCCTGCCAGGGTGAATGTCCATACCTACCGCTATCAGGTGAGCTCACGGTGTTGGGATTACCTCAGGGAACCCCTTCCCCCCACCCCATTTGTGTCCCAAGTACTCAAAGCGTCAAAGCCGTCCGAACAACCACACTGTCTATTCATTCTGATATGAAAGCTGTTCCAGCTGCTGGAATGTGGCAGTTTGTTTTAGCGCGTTTCATGTTACACAAACATGATGAAACAAACGTGCCACGAGTCACATCAGCTCTTGTTGCTCCTGACGCGACCCCCGGTCACCTCAAGGAGGTGCTCATCTTTCCACACGTAGCCCTACTCTGCACCCAGCGGGTTTTGCACATCAAACATCTTCTGGCACCGTCGCATCGAAAGCGCAGCCGGGAGATCTGTTTTCAGGTGGCTCCATCAAAGCTTTGAGAGTCCTAGGGACCTGAACCAACATAAAACCAGCACAACTTAGAGAAGGTCAAGCAGAGAAAGCTTCCTCATTCCATCTATTTGTGTGATGCCAAGGAATGAGTTAAAGTTATAGTGGCCTGAGATCTTTTCTGGGCAAACCCAAGCAAAAGGTTTTTTGAAGTCGTGAAAGACATTGACTTGGTCTCGAGCTTCAAGACGCGAAAATTCAAGAATCAGCAGCCTGTACTGGCAAGAACAGGCCAGACGCTGAACATGTTGTTCAGTGTCCTGAAAGCATAGCAATGGAATTCAGAAGGATCAATTGAGGTTAAAACTAACATTCTCCTGTCTTTGGGGAGAATATTATTCACAAAATGTTATCCGACATTAGAAGGTTCCAAATGATACGGACAATTTGACACAATAATATATATATATTTTTTTAATTTAGGGTTGTGTAACTTGTCACATTTCTGCCATAAGTGAACACAAACTCGTTGCATTTTCCCACTGATAAATTTACTTTTATATTTTTTTTATAATCATGAAGCAGATGTTCTTCATTTCCGGGGCTGAAGTAAAGCCAGCCGGACTCTCGCAACTTTTACACCTGACCAAATATCCGCTACGTGACAGTGGCGTTCTCATTCCTGATTGGTGGAGCCCTCCTGCCGGCTGATAGCGATCCCCGACGCAGCCTGTAGATCACAGCTGACTCTTTGTGAATCACGCTTCCGTGGATCTGGGCCCTCCGGTGGCTGCACACAATGCACCACGTGTTCTCATTGTCTTTAACATGTAACAATGGGAGCAGTCCCCCCCCCCACCTTTTTCCTGGCCTTGAATCAAAAGATTCTAAAGCAAGCCCTTAAGCAAAGTTTCAAAATAATACATGCAAAGGAGCAGTCTGCAACAGTGCTGAGGGCAGGTGAGGACCTTCCAGACTGAAACTGAAACGAGACGGTCGACAGGCCATGCAGAAGTGTAAGGACGACGTTGGCCAGAAGGTGGCAATAAAGAGGACCCTCAATTAGAGGATGCACCCCCTCCCTTGTGTGACGTCGGCTCAGTCCTCACAGGCAGGCCTCCCATGCTGGTCGGCCTTGTATTTCGGCAGGAAGTTACATTGTTTATATCCTGAAAGAGGCTATACTTTGCCGCTGGGATCCGAGTGGGCGGATGCACTGACAAAACTGCCCATTTAGTGCCTCTGCATGCTAACCAGCACCACAAAGTAACTGGCTTTCGCAACAAAACCGGCATTTCCCATGGGAGACACATTTTAATGTGAGGACTCGCACACCTCAAGATGAGCAGAGGAGATAGCGCCCTCTAGAGCCACGTATATGTCCTGCCTATGGTGAGAAGGATGCACATGCTGGGCGGACCACAGTGCGACATACTGCTCCTATCAGCGGGTTAGGCTGCTGTACCTGCGATAGGAAGGTCGCCGGTTCGAATTCCAGAGTTGGCGGCATGATGTCACTGTTGGGCCCTTGAGCAAGACCCTTGCAGCCAAAATGGTTCCCTGGACTGGCTGACCTGCTTTACATCAACTGTACATCATTTTGCATAAAGGCACTGGCTAAAAAAAAACCATAATGTGACAAACAAACCACAATTGGCAAAGGAAGGATTTTCACAATACTTATAGTGTGAAGGACAAACCTCAAGTCGGACATAAGGGTTTATAGATATAATGCAACCACCAGAAAAACAAATCGCCACTATTTGCAGATGGAGCGATTCCTTCACGCAAGTCCCTCAACTGGCTCTGATCCCAGTAGCTCTGTTGTTCCGCCAGGTACCCCAGGGTGCTGATTGCCACGACTACGAGTTATGGTTCTCCTGCGATTGGTGCTCGGGGCGTCCGCAAGGCGCCGTGCGATAAGCGTGTGCATGGGAGGGCTGCAATGGACATCCATCAGCTACAGTCTGATAAATAAACAAAGGAGAAATTTCCCCACTCACTCTGATACAGATGCAAATCAGACAGCGCCGTCACGTAAAGCCTTCAGCCAGCCTCCACGGGGGGTTGTTTTAAATTAAATGGGCATGTTGGAGATCAGCTAATGAACATCAAAAGAATTCCAAGCACGCCGGCCTAATTTATGTAAGACATTCCCCATGTTGCGTGCATTTGACGTGTGGACAGTGAGTTCAAATGGCGAAGGGGGGCCGCTGATGGGGGTGGTGTTCGGGTTATAAAAAGACTTACAGAAATGAGTCTAAGCGAAACCGTTGTAGCACACTGAAACTGTCATGAACGCCTCAATCCAAAATGTTCCGCTTTCCCTCTGATAGTAACCACGTTTCCATTCAAGAGCGGTCATGGAGGTGAGGCGTCATTCACCATCGTACAAGAATGAGAACAGGTACACTGGGATGCGTTCATTTTCTCATATCCCACAAATATACATAAGTTTGGGGTCCGAGTGCAGAGTCAGCTGTCCATCTAGCGCACCTGGAGGGAGTGTTAGGAACCTTGCTCAAGGACCCAACAGAGACATGGCTACAATGCCAAACAAGGGATTCGAACCAACGAACATCCAGCCACAGAAACAGGCCTAATCTGCTAGGCGACACACAGACCCCCATAGATACTCTCCATGAACAGACCATTAAAATCTGTGGTGACTATTTGGTCATGGACACAAAGGAGATGCCACAAGGCACAGGTACGACCTAAACAAGAAGCTTCTGGAAAATTCTAACTACAGCTCAGGCTCACCGCAAATGTCGAGACCCTGACTGAAGCATGAGGAAGGCTGGGCTGTATAATGTGAAAGAGGGCCAAGCAAGCAAGGTCAGCACAACCCCCTTCCTGCATCATTACAGAATAATTCAAGGGGAGTTTAAAAGCCCCAGAGGACCAGAAACGACTCCTAGAGGTCAGACCCCAAAACAGAAAAAATTATTTATGGAAGCTGGGGTCTGTTTTTTTCTGTGCTGCGACAGCTCCTCAACGAAGGAGGACAGACCGAACATTTACATAACAGCCTGCTAATCCATCACTGGTTCTGACATCATCTGTCAGTTTGACAAAGCGGCATCCTACACGACATATCCTGCGACGCATGTAACATGTTTGTTTAGTAGTGTGACAGCTTGGGAATCTGAGATGCTTATCACAGCACCAGAGCAACACGCACCGGAAGACAGGATGGTAGGGGAAGAACGGGAAACCCAGAATGTTCCTCCTCTACAAATGAAAGAGAACTGGTAGAAGAAGGCTGTATGTTGTGGGATGGACCAGCGCCGAGGCCTCGCCTATACACAGCCTGCCTGCCAGAACACACTCGGGTCATCACTATTCTTAGTAAAACGTGCAGTTGTTATTTCTGAAAATACTCAGGAGAGGTTTTCTGGCCATGCATAAGAGGCGGTGTTGGCAGTACTCATACAGGGACAGCGCACATGGAGCATTTGCTATGCTTATGGAACAAGATCTGAAATGGCTTTTTCGGGTAAGGTAACGACGTTCCCATCCAGAAAGGTGACCAACTGAAACCATGTGACATCACCGGCACCTGAGCGGAATGAAGGCCTATGATGGCAGCTGTGGAAATTAATTGCTTGGTCCCACCAGTTTTACACCTCCCTCCGCCCCGTAGTCTGGGTCTCCGAGCACCACCTGCAAACCTATATCATGTGGAATTATAGACAGACACAGAACCAAGGCACCCCAAGGGGACTCTGACCCTGACTGGGAGTCGATATCCGCTGGCCACGTGCATCGCCCAGGGCTCAGCAATCTGCGGCAAGGTTTTGGGTCATATTCAGATAAGAATATTTGGTCATTACCAGGGATGATTTGTGACAGCAACCGACCACCACTGGCAGTCCGCAGCCCCTCTGTCCCCCCAGAAAAAAAAATCACTAATGAAAATGAAACAGTAGCAAGACCAATACTGAGCAGCATGATCTATTTAAGTTACGGGAGGGGGGTCTCTCAAATATAAATGAGGTTTAAACAAGATCTCCTATAAACAACCATTATGCATTTGTTGACACAGGAAATGCCAATGTCAGCTATGAGTAGTCAGTGCAGGAAGCACATTCCTGATGCCCCACGGTTGCCATGGAAACTGTCCCCATCCCTGTCCCCAAACATGCAACATGCCGGTACATCTCGACAACTGAACACCTCAACCCGTCACCAACAATCCAAGATATAGACAAACTCTCATCCGTGTCACTCTAACGTACCACACCGCCTGATCCATTCCACTTACTCCTCAGCATGCACTTCCTCCACAGCTTCTGGAGTTGCCATCCACCCGAGAGTTCACACTACGACAGAAGTACCGTATGACCCAGCTGGCATAGGACAGCACTGCTTCTCGAGGCCAGCCTCATGTCCAGAACTTTCTTCCCCAGACACTCACCATTTCCAGTCCCTGAGGGCAGGGCGTGCCATCCCAATCCTTCTCTGGAAAGCGTTGCAGAATCTTCCCACGTCCTTCTCCAGGTCCTGGAAGGAGACCAGACACAAACTGGATCAATGCGGAATCCACACATTGATCCAGACACACACACACGCACCGTGTTGCTCTGCCTATCGCCGTCTATTAATGTGGCTGCTGATTTCATTGGGAAAAAAACCCAAATGGCAACGAAAACCACTCACTAGGTGTCCTTACTAAAGGCTAAGTATGACTGCACAAGCAGCCAGATGAGGGGAAAATGGACTTGCATTTGGCAAATAAATTCTGGAGGGCAAAGGAATCTACCATGGGAGAAGACGGCATGGGCTGATCCTTGAGTTGTGAGGCAAAGTAGTCTTCAAAACAGTGAGTTAACCTGCGATGACCCTTGCCTGCTTAGCAAACGGAAGGGAAGAGCAGCATGCTAGCAGGCTAACAGTGTTCCTAGTGAATAGAAACCCTCCAGAGGTCCAATGGTGACTCTGTGGCATGTGGTCAGCAGGCCGGACACAGAGCACAATGTTTTATGTGAAGCACCCCTAAATCCTTCACAGTTACCATCCACATGAAAGATGGATACGTAATAGATAACTAGATCGGTAATGCAGAAAAAAAAACTAGGCCTTCAGAGGATACACACACCTAGAACACAGGGTTATTCCAGCATATTGGATAGAACCACAAAAAAGTTAATCAAAAGGTAGGAAGCTGGCAGGAAAGAGCAACTGTGGGCCCAGTGCCCAGATTAAGTCAAGCTATTTGCAGGGACTACAGTCAGAGCTGAGGTGTGAGGGAGAGGAAGAAGAAAACATGACAGCTAACAAAAAACAGATCGTCAGGACAGAGGCTACGCGTTCTCCAGCAATTCGCCTAACAAGCTGAAACTGTGTAGGACATCGATCCCCAGGGCCTGACAGGGGAGGGGGGGTTCGGGGGTTAATATTTCACCCGCTCGCCAAGCGTCTTTCCCTCAAGGAGTTTGTCAGGCACTCAACAAAATATCAGAGGCGATAACTTTCCCCCGTAGGGCTTATGACTTGCATGTCATTGCACAGGGCCCGTCTCACCAGCATTTGGCTGAGAACCACAAGTGATCGTCCCCCACTAGGGCGGCAGTGCAGGGAGGTGCCTCCGGCTAGACGGAAGGCGGGACGCTGCCTCCCACGAACACCCCAATCTGGACTTGGAACCAAATCAAGACTCAACAGCAGATCTAGAGAGATACCAAATTATAACCATGTTTCCTCTAAGAATGTGAGGTCAGTGTGTTGTTTTTTGCAAACTATCATTATAGTATTAAATAAATTACTTATTGTAATGCAGAAAATACTTCCCAATCTTATTCTATCCCAACAAAAATGTAATAAATAGCAAAAGGCAACATTTTTTCACACGTGCTATTTAGAAGAAAAACTAATCGCACAACAAGAGGCCAGCCAAACGCCATCTCAGAAGCATGCTTCATCAGTGAACTGGAAACATAATAAATGGAAAACATTTATTTGCAGGCCTAAAAAGAATTTCTTTAGCAAAAGGCCAACAACAACATCATGGAGCTGTTTTTCGACCAAGCACATACGGTCCTAGTTTGACACCAAGAGCTCGCACATGGTCAAACTCCCCCTGAGTCACGCAGACCATCTTACATCTCCTGAGAGGCCTTGTATGTTGAAGGCGGACAGTGTTTGACTGGAGAAACGAGGTTCAAAAACCTGTGACAGGTGGAATTAGCGAGCACAGCTAATCACTGACTCGATTAAACTGATAGCGACCCAACAGGATCCAATGGGAGTCCAGAAAAAATTCAACAAGAACCAATGGGAAACCCAATGATGAACAAATCAAAGGGAAGGGGATTAAACCTAGTGATGACAGGTACTGTGCAGAAATTCTATCTACACCAGGTTCTGAAGCACTGTTTCTCATTTTTTATCAAAACCAGAGTTCAGCAGGGTTATTCACGGAGTGGCCAGAGGACACAGACGTACTGAGATAACACAACAATCCCTTTGCACACCATTGCACACACTCCCACATGCAAACCACAAACTCATCAGAAGCAATCAATAATTCAATCTGCATTCCTTACACTAAACTCCAAGTCACTTGGTCCCCGGTTAACCTTGGACTTGCAAAAAGTGTCAGATGAGCTCTGACAGCCTGGAAGCAGGTGGCCTCCATTTGAGATTACTTGAGGGCGGCTGCGGCATCCTCAACTGCAAACCTCCTCACTGAAGCAGCCGGGACGGTGGCCTGCGCAGGCATGAGCCTGAATACCACCATCCACGCAAAATACCACTGTTTCAGGCTCCGCCATGGCGCAGTGACAGAAGGCATTGTTTGGACCGCTGGAGGACAAGAGAACACAGTGTTCAGAAGCGACATCAGGGCCGAAGCGTGAGACAGTGCTGCAGTGCTCCAGTGTGGTCTGCGAATGCTGACACTCCAGATGAACACCGCTGCAGGATCTTGCCTATTATTTTTTGGGCCTGAAGCCGTGGAGGAGACAAAACGCTCTGCTGCTCATTTCCTCCTCCTCTCATGCACCCCCTGTCTGCTTGTTTGCTCAGAACTCGGCCTCTGTGGCGTCCTGATCCCCCAGGGTCACGTCTATGACGCGCATTCCACTTCCAGCCGGTGGACGGGCATCTGTGGACAGCAGGGATTGGGTCTGGAAAAATAAAATTCCACTGTGTTCCCCACTGCGTAAGGAAAACATATCAGCTGGTGGGGGGGAAAGGGGTCTGGGGGCTCAGTAAACAAACTTCGAGGAAATCATTATTTGAGGCTCAGAATGGTGAAGAAATGAGATACTGAACAGCAGCATACAGGAAGGAGGGATGTGTCAAGCATAGAAATGTTTGGATGTCAAATAAAAGTAATTCTATTTGGCCTGAAAACTGCTCCAGTTTTTGTGAGACATAGGAAACCGACCTAAAATCAACACTGTTGAACTGACAGCTCTCATGGGGAAAGAAGCATGGTTGAGCTGCAGAAGGGGACCCCCCCCCCCAACCCCTCAGAGGCGGCACAGTAGTTCACTGGCAGCCCAGCACCAGGGAATTCAAGCAGCTTGTCAGCAGACTCCTCAAACTCTGACCTCTGGCAGGTATTTAGAAAAGTGCTGGGTAATTAATCTTCCGTAGCCCATCCACTGCGGCCACGAGGGGCAGGGGTGGGCGGGGGGGGAGGGGGAAGGGGGGCATCCCACCACATACTCGCAGGCATCAGGTGTCACTGAACTGCAAGCTAATCAAAATCACATTGCCTGGAATCCCAAAATAAGCACAAGCTCCGCTTTAAGTCACCAACGACAATCATAAAGGACAGAATTCCAGGCATTCCGGCAGCCTGAACAATTAAACCCGGCTCCTCTGCCAGCTATTATCACCCCCAAGATAACAATTAAGTGCCCCGGTTACCACTGGCTTTGAGCTCCACATCAAAGCAGACACTGGCAAGACTGGAGATTCCCCAAAGGATAACAGCCTGCGGCCACTTACAAACAACTAGGATTTTCCACCGATTTTTCAACCTTTTCTGGTTCGAAACCCTTATGCGCTCCAGAGTCAAAATACCATCAAATAAATTCCACTAATCCTAACTGAACAAGACTGTATGGAATTTACACAGCAGCTCAGCCTTGTGTATCGCACTTCTTATAATTCACATAAATAATATAGCTTGTCTGAGAAAGACAAGATGATATTTTTCAAATTTGAAGATTCTTAATAGGAATATCCGGGGGGAAAGGATAACTAAGGCCATATTCTCAAGATTTTATGGGCAGTCAAACTTCACTAAAAAAAGATTAGGTCTCATAGGACAGCACTTTTGAGCTAGACTTTTGGGGTATTGCCTGCAGAGAGCTGAAGTACACAGAGAACAAAATTGAGACTAGACCTCATGGTATATATGCAGTATATTTAGCTTTCACTTTACACTTGGCAGATGTATGACTACAAGACCAGATCACAGATGTTTGGAAAAAGGATGAGATCATTGCAGACTCATACTAAAAATCTACAGCTATGTAACTGTTCCTTGAACATTCCTTACAAAATAACAGGCTTGTGGAGGTCAACTCTTTAGAGTTAAGCTGTGAAGAATTTGCACAAATCAGAGTATAAAAAAGATTCATGCATTAAATCTACTGTTTCCTAGTCGGAATATCTGAGGTCATCATTATGTCACCAGTGAGGGCCAGTTGGGCTGGTAAGCTTTGGTACAGGTACAAAATCACCCCAACAGTGTACCTGTTTCACTGGGAATTCCAGTGCCATTACAAAAGACAAAACGATACAGGGACCTCCATGGACCCACATCCTGTATCCCAGTCAGAAAATTAGGCTGTTGAGAAGCTGTTGAGAAGCCCTGCATCCCCCTCATTTTCCACTCTCCAGGAACTGATCATAGGGATCAGATGACAGGGATCATCTTTCAAGGAGGTCGAGATGCAAAGGAAACACAGCAGGTCCAACCCAGTTTCTCCATGTCTCTTCAGCTCTCTCTGAAGGTTCCCTAATCCACACATGTATGCAAGTCATACATCTTTACAGGCCTAATCCACTATAACTCAAGCAGGTCTTTGTTCAGGTGTGACAACCTAGCAATCCTCAGTCAGATGTCTGCAGAGAAGCCCACCTGCCAAAACAGAAGGGGTGGAAGACCCCACCTGTGCCCTCATGATGCTCCCCATCTTATGCATATCTGTCATTTTCTCAGTTACACACAAATATGATTTTATTATGATTTAAGTCCAAAGGCAAATACACTGTGTACTCCAACTGCTCACGTCCATAAATCTTCTTTCCAGCTGAGAAACAACGTGCAATGATATTAAGATGAAGTGTAGTGCCACAGAACATAATCCATACAAGAAAACAAATGAAATTTCTCCACCTTTACGAGATAAAAGCAAAATAAAAAGCAGCTTTGATATCTCATGCCATCACTCCTTTCCACCTCACTTGGCACACAGCTTGTAAACATTTCCTCTACACCTTCCGATGTTCTCATGAAACCGAGTGCCCACAAGGATGAAAAG